ACATACTTGTGATTCATTGGTGGTTTTAGCATCAGGATTGTTGAGTTTGGCATTTTGCAACCATGCTGGCAGCGTAGATTCAGGGGTATCCTGTTTGGCTTGAGATAATGACTTCTCGATGGCTGCAACTTTCGCTAGATCTTTTTCGTAGTTCACTGAACACTGAGAGCAAAAGGTGGGATTTTGCGCAGGATCCGAATTTTCAGGTATAAGCTTTGCCAAACCAGGTAATAGACTCGGAATAGGATGTCTTTGAGCAGGATTTGAATTTTCAGGTAAAAGCTTTGCCAAACCAGGTAACGGACTCGGAGTAGGATGTCTTTGAGCAGGATTTGAATTTTCAGGTATAAGCCTTGACAAACCAGGTAATAAACTTGGCATGGGCTGTTTTTGAGCAGGATTTGAATTTTCAGGTAAAAGCCTTGACAAACCAGGTAATGGACTTGGCATAGGCTGTTTTTGAGCAGGATCTGCATTCCCAGGAATAGGCGCCGCTAAACCAGGTAACGGACTCGGAATAGGTTGCCTTTGAGCAGCATCCAACTTTTCAGGAATAAGCGTTGCTAGACCAGGTAATGGACTCGGAGCAGGTTGCCTTTGAGCAGGATCTAACTTTTCAGGAACAAGCCTAGCTAAACCAGGCAAGGGACTTGGATTAGGCTGTATTTGAGAAGGATCCAACTTTTCAGATAAGCGCCTAGACAAACCAGGTAAGGGACTTGGATCAGGTTGTTTTGTAGCAGGATCTGAATTTTCGGTTAAACGCGTTGCTAAAGTAGGTGACGGACTTCGGATAGGGTTCGTTGGATTCAGGGAATCCAAGGAGTTGCTCATGGTTCTCTCCGGTCCAACCCTGTAAATATAAATGATCACATGTCAGGAAGATAACTCTAATAAAAGAATCCGACCAATCCAAATAAAATAAACAGAGAGAAGACTGTACTTCAAAATTAAACAAGAAATTTGATTTTCAGATGTTTGCAGATGAACTACTCTTCAGCGGCAACCAAAGATCAAGACTAGATAATAGATTCCATCACACAAACCCCATTCTTTCTAAAGTAAACATACCAAATATATCGATTTCACAAAAACTCCATAACTAAGTAGCATAAGAAACAAATTAGAAAACTAAGCAAGAAAATGAAAATGAAAATAAAAATACCTCGTAAACATTCCCGGAATAGGAGATCTCGATGTAATAGGCACAGCCTGCAAATCCCAGTCGCTCTCCATGGTGGGATGATAAACCTGGCATCTCAAATATGTCTCGCAAGTTGCTGTCCCAATCAACCAGAGCTTGTTCTTACCCTCATTCAGACCATCAGCTCCACCAAATCTGGCCAGTAGCTTTGACATCTCCACCACCAGAGCCCGGCCCGATTCGGACACAACCGGTGCCTTTTGCTGCTGCTGGGCCCCACTGAAACCCGCAGCCGCTGGCTGCTCCACCAGCCACCTCAAGTCTCCCAGATCAAGAATCACCCCTCCGTTCCCAATCTTACTCTCAATCGCCCTTTCAAATTCATCGATCTTGGCGGCTATTTGATTCTTGTCGGACAAAAGAAGACTTTTATCTATTGATATTATCTGAAGATTGTTCAAGTTCAGATCATTTCCGAGTTCATTATTTTCCATTTTTCTGAACAATTCCTTGGCCACGGCCTCAGGCTCCGAATCCCCCACAATAACTGGGTTTCTTTTTTTGCTCCTAGACATTATATCGAACACCTTTTTGACTTCCGCGCCTCTAGGGTTCTCAATCTGGGCGGGGGGTGTTTGCTGCTGCTGCTGCAGACGCTGATTCAGGAACAAGCTATGATTGGCCAGCCATGGGACCGCCGGAGACATCTGTCGAGCCACCGGAGTTGGCGGTTGACCAGGATTTGGAAGCAATCTAGAAGCAATTCCACCGAAACCCGCCACGAAATTCGCGCTCCCGCCGGCGACGTGGTGCTGACGTTGACTTGCGCGAGAGCTGGAGCTATTTAGGGATTGCTCGATTGTGGCCTTCACGGCGGGGCTGGAGAAGCTGGCCTCCCTCATCACGCGGCTCACGCCGGGATCGTCGAGTATCGAAATTACCAGCTGCTCAAGCTCGACCTTCACGGCGAGGAGCGGCTGCTGCTGCTGTTCTGGGCACCCCCGCCTCTGGTGCGCCTGCGCCCTCTTCAGGGCCGCCATGAGCGCGTTGGAGATCGGCGGCTCCGCGTCCCCCGCGCTCTGTGCCGTCGGCAGCCGTTCGAGGGCCACGCTGAAGCACAGCTCCAGCGCGCGGCACTGGAGCGGGTGGCTCGAGTTGGGGTGGGACCGGATGCAGGCCTGCCTCAGGAACCCCGACGGCGACGCCAGCAGCATCGCCGCCACGTGGAGCGGCGTCGTCTGGCCGTGGTTGCGGCGGCTCGCCTCCGCTATGGACTGGTTGAGCACGGCGGCCGCCTCCGGAGTCAGCGTCTGCTGTATAGTGTTCAGGCCCGCTCTCATACCTCCCCCTTTACTCTCTATCAAAATTTAATTGGGCGAACGATTGAATCTGAGTAATTGTTTTTGAGAATCTGATTGAATTGATTTTTATCTCTCTGTTAACTATTTCTCTCTCTATAGCTTATGAAAAATGGTGTTTTCTCTCTCTAGTCTCTCTCTACTTGTCTCTTTCTCTCTCTCTTTCTTCCTTTCTGAGTATGTATTATTCGTATGGTTTATTTGAATATGTGAAAAAAAGAGCTGTGTGAGAAATTCAACGCGAAAAGGAAAGATCGGACCACCTCCTACACACAAACCTCTCTCTTCCCTAACTTTCTAACTCGAACCAGAGCCTCTCTGTTGCTCTCTCTCTCTCTCTCTCTTATTTACTGCTGGTGATGATATATATGAGTAAAAAGGAAACCCACACACACAAAACACAACACTGTCTCTGTCATTTAATACACCCAAATAAAATATCAGCACCCCACATGAACATAAAGCAAATTGTAGAAAAAAACAAATTAATTAAAATACTGATGAGTGATGGCATCATTTTTATTTTATTTTTCCATTTTCTTTCTTTTACCCTCTAATTAATTTGTTCTTCTTATCTGTGGGGTGACATAATAACTAGAGAAAAAAAGGATAGAAAATAAATTAACGTACAAGAATTTTATGGAAATCAGGGGTATATATGTACTTTCACAGTTGCAAGAATTTCTGAAAAATATCTCGAAAAAAAAAAAGAAAATAAATTGTACTACAATCTTTCCTCGATTAATCCAAATACTTTTTGCATTATAAATTAGAGTAGTAATTTGTATTTTACTATTTTAATGATGAAAACATGAAATTGGCAGCAAATTCTCATTCTTCTACCTTTGTGAGAATGGCCTGCCCAACATTTAAGTGTGACGAGATTTTGAAGCAATATTATAATTGGGTATCTTTTACTTGGTTTATTTATTGGATAATCAAGCTGGTATTAGTATTAGTATATGCCCTTTCATCAAAGGGAATAAAGTAATTAGACTTTTGATTAAGAGAAAAAGATAATGGAAAGTTGGAGGAAAGAATATAAATGGACCTTTTTGTAGGTTGATGAGGAGATTCATGAGTGCTTTTAACACATTAATTTATTAATGTTCATCTAACTATTTTTCTTTATTCTTATATCTCCCACCTTATGTTCATTTCTTTTTCTTAAAGTTTTCCCCATTAATAATCAAGATTCGCATTCGATCAATCACTGGTTCAACCTTTAAATTGTCAAACAATTGAATTATTAGATAACAAAAAAAAAGTTACATTTACTATTTTTTTCTCATAAAGAGTTCCAAAATTAAATAGATTTAAATAAAAATTATTGAGTTGGCCGAATTATGAACTTGACACACAAATATCTAGATCAACCGAGTCAATAACATGTCAATTTAATGACGAGCGAAATTGTATTTGTTATGTCAATTTAACCGTGTTCAAATCAACCTGTCTAATTGTTTAGACGGTTCATCTCGTAAATCTATTTTTTCTCTAAAAATTATACATACATAATTTGAAATGGATTATTGTATTTGACTTTTAAGCTCTCTTATTTATCTGAATAGTTCAATTCATCGCTTTTGTTAGGGAATATTCGGTCTTTCCTTTTTCCCTTATTTCACGCCGTCCATGTTCTCTCGTTCTAATCTGACTTATCTCGCATGGAGTGACCACACGCGCGAGCATGCCGCGTGGGGTGTTTAGCAACTAATCACTCGTGTTTGCCTTTTAAACCAATTTTCAACTTTTTCGCACGCAGTTGATGCGAAAGGGCATCGGCTCAAATCTCCTTTTCACACTTCACTTGTTCTTCGCCCTCTTTTTCCAAACCTTTTTATTTTCTTTTACTTTATTTAGATGCCTTTTTCGTGCATTAAAAAAGGCGACACACTTTAATAAAAAAAGTAATAATTGTGCAAATTCTTTTTTCACAAAACGCCAATAACCAAACACCCCTTTTTCTTTTTTCCATTATTTTGTTTTTCTTTTACAGAGTGCATAAAAGGTTGCTTACCTTGCGAGGAACTGTCATCTAACACAATAAATCACAACTACTACAATACATGTGTACTTGTTAAAAATTATTCTTTAATTTTAAAATTAATGAGAAAAATTATTTTATATTTTATTTATTTTTTATAAAAAATATATATTATTATATATTTTAGAATGATACTTGTTACTTGTGCGACATACATGCGTTATATTATAGTAATTTTTATAACTTACATCATATAATTACTTGAAATATAAATATAATCAAGGAATGACTTAATTTATTGTAATCCCGGTTTGACTTAAAACTTTAAATTAATTATCTAGCCTATTGTTCTCTTAATTTAATTGATTTTCTAGTTTCTACATTAATATTGGTTACTAGTTCGGCAGTTCCTACATAGCCTAACTGTAACACCCCGCTTATCAGAGTAACTTTTTCGCAACCTTTTACTTCGATATCACTTTAACTTTTTCGAAATAATTGCAACTTACTCG